CCAGGGATGGCAAATGCCACCAGCAGGGCCACGGGGCCACCCGGTGGTGTCCCCGAGAGGGTGGGGACGGTCACCAGGGCCCCCCCTATGTCCCTCTGGCACCACAGGGGACGGGTGTCTCGATGCCACCACCCTGTGCTGGCCTTGGGCCACCAGCAGGGCCATGGGGCCACTAAATGGTGTCACTGGGAGCTTGGGGACGGTCACCAGGGCCCCCCGTCCCCGTCCCCCTGGCACCACAGGGGACGGGTGGCTCGATGCCACCACCCCGCAGTGGCCTCGGACCGGGGGTGGCAAGTGCCACCAGCAGGGTCACGGGGCCACCCGGTGGTGTCCCCGGGAGGGCGGGGACGGTCACCAGGGCCCCCCCCGCGCCCCCCCAGCGCCGCTCCCTGCCCGGCAGAGCTGCAGATGATGGTGGAGCATCACTTGTGCAAGCGGGCGCAGGGCGAGGAGGAGGAGGAGGAGGAGGAAGAGGAGGAGGAGGAGCGGGAGGAGCAGCAGGGGGAGGTGCCCCCCGGGCGCTGCCACCACGGGGACACCGCGCACAGCCACAGCCCCGGCGGGTCCTGTCCCCTGGCCACGCACCCGCCCGGCCAGCGTGAGTTTGGGGGGTCGGGGGGAGGGTTTGGGGGGCGCGTGGGGGGGACCTGAGGTCACCCCGTGTCCCCCCTGGCACCCACAGGGACCCCCGGCGATGGGACACCGAGGGCCGGGACCCCCAGGGGTGGGACCCCCAGAGCGGGGACCCCCAAGGCCGGGACCCCCAAGACGGGGACCCCCCGTGACGGGACCCGCCGCGTGGACGCCCATATAGAGCCCCGGGGAGCGGCCAGCGGCCAGTAGGTGCGGACTGGGGGCACTGGGGGGCACTGGGGGGGGCTCTGAAATACCTGGGAGGGCACTGGGACATAGGAGGGCACTGGGAGGGCGCTGGGACACTGTACTGGGACGCGGGGGGGCATCGGGAGATGGCACTGGAGAATACTGGGACACTGTACTGGGACATGGGGGGGCATGGGAGGGGCACTGGGAGGGCACTGGGACACTGCACTGGGACATGGGGGGGCA